TGAGGTGTTCCTCACAAAGAAAGCAATCTGATCCTGGGTTACAGGCTTGAACACCTCTCAGTATTTGACCATTAACAGATGAAAAACGCTGATCCATCTTTGCCTCGAAAAAACAGAAATTTTCTGATATCCATCTACAGGAGGAATTAGTCATTGTTCAGATAGTGTAGCTATCACTCATGGAAACTTTACTTTCACAGCGTTTTCATACATTATCTTACCTGCTCGTCGCGCGACGTACGCTGATTGGCATTTGAAACGTGCGCGCGGTCGGTATACCCGAGCACGCCACGCGGGAACATAGTTTCCGTGCGCAGCTGCATCATCGTTTTTGCAGCGTTATTGTTGTTATTGTGTTTCTTTTACGTGCGTCAGTTGGTTTATTGACTGTCTTGCATTTAGTTTCTCTGAAGAATGGTCTAATAAAAACCCTTATGGGATGTATTTACTGGGCCACGTGCCCCAGTACAAGTGGTCTACGCCGATGTGCCATACATAAGGCTTCTGTTATATTGTCAAAGTACAGGTTTCTGTGGAGTTTGGTGTACAAAGGGAGTAAACAATTAATCAATATACCTAAACTAGCTAATATAAATGAAATCTGCATTTAAATGAACAAAAACATTTGTCTTTAAAAGATGACTTACAACTGTATGTCAGCTATAACTTTAGTCAATGCATTAGCAAAATTAAAAGTTGTATTTATTCCATTATACCTACAGGTAGGTGTGCTGATCATATAATTTAGTTTCCGGCGTTGTAGTTTCTGTTTATTGATTTTTAAACTAAAAAGAGCCCTTTGTAAAAGGTGAGCCACAGAACAGCAGCAGAAACTCTGTTTAGTCATTGTCACATTGTTAGCACTTCTTTAAATTGTAGCAGTAGATGAATCAAATGATATAGTGGACTTGACAGACTGTACAGCGCCCCCAGGCTCTCCTCTTCATCTCTCTCTTAACCGTACATTGAACTGGACTGCAGGTATGTTTAGCATGGACATTTTACCAACAAACAGGCCTACGAGACAACAAACAGGCCTACGAGACAACAAACAGGCCTACGAGACGGTGTGTTTGAATTTGTAAACACACACTCAAAGATGTAAAACTTGAAAACAGTATTGTCTGTTCTTTTCCTTTACTCACTTAAAATCACAGAATGATACAGCATCTCCGGACACATCCAATACCAAACAATGATTTTTTTTTATCCCCAGAGATTGTTGGTGTAAATGGTGTGATGATGTGACATAACTTTCATAAACCTAACTTCCGTGGTAACAGAGAATGGATCCGTGGTACAACCACGCCTCCAATACTTTCCCGAGGAATATCGAAAAATGTGGGAAAGCTGATCAGTGTGATTAGTGATCCAACTGATTAGTTACAAATACTGACTGGTTTCAACCAGTGCTGCTGAAGCAGCAAGAGAGGATGAGGAAGAGAGAAAGAGGTAGGAGGAGGGCAGCAGCCAACACGCTGCTGCTGTGGGGGAGCTAGTGCTGGAGGGACAGGGCAGATGACCTGTAGGAAACACTGGCCACCTTTAACACCACTGAAAAAGGGACTGAGGAAGATGTTAAACAAAGAGAGACCACACAAAGCTGAGAAATTGAAGAGCGGCAGCAAAAAGCAGTTTCTCTGTCAAACTGGATTAAAAAGTGAGTTAATCTAAGATTCACTGGGTGCAAAAAGGTTCAGACATCAATTAATTAAGTTTTACTTCAATTAATAAGGAAAATGTAATAATATGTCTTATACACTCACTTGTATCATAAAGGCCCTATTGGGTTTGATTAATCTCTCCAGTAAAGACAGCTAGATCAAGATATAAATAAAATACCAGTACACCTCATAACCACAATTATGAATGTGAAAAACGGTCTGTTTACAGTATTTACCAGTGAGATGAGGATTGGTACATGTATTTATTATTTATAATTATAATACTGGAAAAATCCAAATTAGCTGTGTACTGATAGATGCCGCTTTTTTAAAATTGGAGCCCCTGCCCCTGAGAAACTCACTGCATGCCCCTAAAGCCAGGGGTTAAAAACACTAGTGGGTCATGTGACTAATGTAGCTTCAAATAAATGAGAAAGAAAAAGGTTGTAGAAATGTTTTGACACACATTGCCAACTTGAAATGTCACAAGCACTTTACAACTTTCTTAGCTGATTACAATATTCCAAGAACTGTAACTGACAGCATACAGACATTTTTGTAACTTTTCATAAATGAAAATGTTACTGTAATAACCATAAAAACTGCATTAAAGTTTTATATTTTGTTTCTCTCACTTTTCTTTTATACACTCTAGTAAAAATGAAGTGCAATATTTGTACTTCTCCAAATATAAACAGGCACAACAGAATGCTTGTTACTACTGAGCACAGTTCTTTGTGAAGTGTGTGTATTTTGTATTTGCTGTGTTTTACCACCGTACATATACACACATTTCATGTGTAGCCAGGAACTTTTGGCCTGTGCCACATGATCTGCCCTGCCTCTAAATCTGATCGGCCAGTCACCGGTCAAGTCCAATCTCCGCTGATTGATTGGTGCACCTCTAATAATTATTGCTATTGATTTCAGCTTATTTTGGAAGATTAGCAGCCAAGTCAGTGCAACTATGGTGTAGCTCTGAATGTTTGGAACTATGCGAAGTCCTCAGGATCTGCCATTACTGGGGGAAAACAAACAAACGCTTCTTATAGAGTCAGTGACAATACCGTATCATCACTGTCCTTCTTAATCTACTCGGATGCTGCCAAAGGAGGCTCAACCAATCCAAGGGTTCAGTTAGGTTTTCTAACAGCTTAAGCACATTGCGCTTATTTATATCTCTGATTTAGATGCAGACCGTGCATGTCCTCTCTCCCTGTACCTTTCTGCAGGTTGCCCTGGCTCTGGAGCTTCATGTTTCAGATGAGCAGTAACCAGCCACATCAGCCTGTCCAGAGTTTGGTTGGTTGTTGAAAACAGAGTTGAAAAACAAAGCAGGATGGCTATGTTTGGTGATGGTTAACAGAAGTACAGGGTAGACTGCTTGTTAGGTTCCGATAGCAGAAATGCAGCATAAAATACTTCAGCTCTAGACTTTATAATGTAAAGTGACCTGAGATGATGATTGTTGTTGAGTCGGCGCTATACAAATACAACTGAATTGAAAGACTGGATCACATTTTCTGACCAATTTATGCAGAAAACCAGGTAATTTCAAATGGCTGACTTCTTATTAATACTGTTGTTCTACTGTGCACTTTATTATATTCTAGCTTTATATATTCTATTTAACATTATTTCAGATTACTTTTAATAAAATCTTTTCCTCTGCTGAGGCGAAACCTGAACTTCCCCTAAGGAGACCAATATAAGGTATTACAGTATTATTATTATTAAAGAAACTAGAAGACACTACTTTGAAATTACCGTGAACACGACTGAGCACAGGACAGCCTTTATTAAAGTCTACACTACGGTGAAATTCATCAGAAAATAAACAATATAAAAACCAAAGGATGGCAAACAATGTACTGCATTAGGTAAAATAGAAAAATGTTTAATTTGAGGACAATATATTCTCCATGATCACAGGAATCTACCATAGAGAAGGTTTTAAGAACATTTACTTGGACCACAAATTCAAAGATAATCCATTAACACATAAATAATTAAAATGTGAACAAAACAAATGTATAGAAAGCAGCAGCCCAGTAATAATAAGTAATGAAGACATTAACCAAACAGTGAGGTGTTGATGGTTTTACTTCCACCTGGAGCTGAAATGAAAACCATTCTGAAGCTTATCATTATCCTAGCAGTTTCCACTTTATGCAGAGAAGTAAGCAGAAGCTACAGCAGGCTTTGTTCGCTGTGGGAACTCTGAAAACAAAAAAGAAAATGTATTAAACTAAAACATTATCCTCACTCTCATCCAACAATCAGTCATGATTTCTGGTAACGGGTCAGTTCAGGTACCAAGCTAGGTGTGGCACATGCTCACATGGAAAACGCATAAAACTCCATTTTGTGTATACATAACCAAAATAGTTTTTCATATACATGACAGTGGAGAAGTTGGGTTAGAAAGCAGACTGTAACCTGGTTACGTTAACATCATAGGAGCACAGTGGTTGCATACTGTCAATATTCACACCTGTTCAAACACAATTTATGTACGGCAACAGCTGTGATGTCTGACACACATATGACCATTCATACCCTCATCCTGATATTAACCTGTGCTCTTGTCTCGCACACTTTGCAAGCCTAGCAGTGCTAACTCATCGAGACATGATGTTAAAGCGGCCAAATGAAACCTGTATTTGCTGTTTACGGTAAATATTCTAAAGCTTGTAGTTCATGCAGCACTCTAAATGATCACTGGCCTTACCTTTGTGAAATAAATTAGACGACAGACCATAAAGCGGGATGCTGTCATCTCGTCTTTCAAAATACTTAGAATCCAGACCCGCAGAGTCACCGCTGAGGACAAGAAGAAAGCACAAGCTTGAACAATGCAAAACCAAACATTTCTGTTCTAAAACAAAACTCCCTTCACAGACAAGACAGGCATGTTTAAAAATAAAGCAGAATTCTCATTTAAAAATTGAATCTGAAATATTTCAGCAAAATAAAATGTAAACAGAGTAAGCTATCAAGTCCCTGTATTCCACACACCAGAGTACACTGTGCAAAGAAAGAATACTGTATACTTGGGAGGTGAAAGCAGTTATCCAGACTCACATGCGTCTGTTGGCTGGTTGCACTGCTCGCTGCTCAGGAGGCAAGACATCAGCACCTGCTCCAGGAGATGCAGCGAGTGCGCCTGTCGGAGTATAGAACTGTGCCTGCAAAATCCAGGGAAATCTTTAACTAGTGTCAGTGTCAAAAGTTCAACAAAGGTGTAAAATGTTATGTGCTTCCTTCTTTTTCAAGTGAGGCATGTGCACACAAACTGTGATGTAAACAAAACCAATACAACAAGTATACGGTAACAGTACTCTTCCTGCTTAAAACAGTGCATAAATATAAGGGATAAAGCCAACACCGAGGTGATTACTAAGTTTAGCTTAGATTGGCTAGAAGCACAGCCAGGATGCATCGTACCCTCAGTCCAGATGTGGTGCATACAGCCGAAGGGTTGTCCAAGGGTTCAAGGGGCTGTGGCTTTCTGGACAGCTGCTTTTCATTTAGCTGCTTGTTAAGCCAGTTTATAACTGTGGTAAAAGAAAAATGTAACAGAAGATGGCAAAACTGACATGGTACTTTGATCCTGTAATGTACCATCGCTGTGGTATTTATTGTCATGAATCATTACAGTGCTGCAATTCACAGCTTTGGCAAAACTCGAAACTAAAGTGTCTCTTAATTTCTACTGACAACATCGTTGTTTTACAGCCGTCTTGCTATGGAGGAACGTGTGTCATAAAACATTTCATTAACTGATGTCTAAAAACAAAAATGATTATACATAAATATATTATTACACAAACAGAAAAAGACAATATATATTTTAAAGGATAAGCTAATTATAAAAAGGATTTTCAAATGAAATTCATTAATAGTTAGTTCATAAGAAATACATAGTGAAAAATACATTAATGAATTCCTAAATGACTAATTTCAAAATCAAGGTGCAGTTTGAAGGGAAATAATTGAATTCACAAGTTTTGATCAGACGTTTGAAAGCACAGCCCCACCTCAACTAAGGAAAATGAAGCTAATTACCCCTGGGACGAAATGGGCTCTTTGACTGTCTGGAAAGTCATGTGTGGAGATGGTATTATTACACATGCCATGGATATATTAAGGAAAACATGGTAAAAGGTCTGTAACCAATATATAATTCAACTAAGATGAACAGTAAATACACGCTGTCACTAGTCTTGCTGATTTCTATTAAATGGTATATTGGAATTCGGAGGGATGACACCACTATATATGTATTTTTTTACACATTAAAACCATGTAAAAGGCTGCAAAGGAGGTGGAACTAGCCTGGGATGTTCTAATTACATGTGCTGCTTTTAACCAGGTTTCACAGAGGAACAATTTATGGAACTTTTAGCTGAGTGAAATGTCATTCCTGTCACATATAAGGTCATTATGGGAAGTTATTTGAGGTGGTTGTTAAATTCACAGCAGTACTGGCTGGAGTTTGGACTGCAGACAATTCTTTTACTAATTTTGAATGTTTTTATTAAACCTTTATTTAACTGACAAAAGTACAAAGAAAAGGCTTTTAAATTTAGAATTTGATACAACAAACTAAGTTGGGACAGATGCTTAGTAATAATAATAATCCAGTAACACTGAAAGACTCCAACATTAGCAGGTTAACTGGTAACAAGTGAAGGTATCATGACCGGAGCATTCACCAAAGCTTAAGTCTTTGCAATCAAGGATGGGCTGTGGGTCACCACTTCGTTACCAAACTTCCTGAGAGAATTGGCAGTCGGTAAAAAAAAAACAAAAAAAAAAACAAGATTCCCAGTGCAAGACTGCAAACAATTTAGGTCTTTCACCATCTAACGTGCATGATCTTCAAGCCCTCAAGAGGCGCTGCATGAGAAACCATCATGATACTGAGATGAATAGGGCCACACGGGCTCAGGAGTACTGCCGCCACCTAGCACAGGCCACTTGCTGCAGCCAGTTACAACCTGAAACCTAAGCCCCTTTTATACAGAGATTTCAGAAAAGTGCCAGCATTTTTCCCCTCCTTCAAGGTGACCTTTTTGATTTAAGGCCTTTTATAAAGAGCTTAAAAAGGCCGGCAAACTGCTGCTCTTGCGTTCATTTTACACAGCTGCTGTGATCCTGGTACTAGAGGCGTGATGCTGATCATGATGTATGACAGTCAGTGTACTTTGTGGCCAATTTGAAAACGAAACAAATGGGCTGTTACATCTGTCCACTCTTTCTACAGTGGGAGCGGTCATTTGTGAATGAGCTGCTTATTTTGCGGTCGCGCCCACTGACACCTTTCAAAAAAGGTCAGTCATACCTTAAATACATTTGGTTGCCAATTGCGACTGATCACTTGCAGGCTGGAAGCCTGTCACCCACATATAATAATCACATAAACAGATTCATTTTTACGATTGAGGAGGTGCAATTTTTATGGTTTTTAAGGCAATTTACAGGTTTATGTACAAAAAAAGATCTATACAATTATTTTATATGAACAATAATTTGGCTTATTCTGAAAAATGAGAAAAAACATCCAACAATTGTTGGTAGTGCAATCTCCAGCAGGCACTTAGTACTTTGGTATTGAAATGAATGAGATAAGCTTGCTCACCATTCTCATTGGTTTTTAACACTTCTTTGCTTTCATTTAGCTTCTGTAGTGTTGTCTCCAACTGCTCCTTCAGTTTGGAAACCTGTAAAATACAAATAACACAGTCAAGTTCATATCAAATCAGTTTACTTTGTTGCAATTAGCCTAATTATCAATAGAACCTACAAACTGATGAGAGCAGTAGTCTTCCCATGTGAATGTTTGGTGGCTCGGTCAAGAAGCTAAAGTGCATAACAAAATGTGTTCGTAAGTTAGTAAGGAGACTGGCAAAACAGTTAATGTGGGTGTTAAAAGTGTGTCCTTCTTGTGTTGTTTAGCTGAAGGTTGCCTGGCTGTTAATCAGTGTTACCATCTGCCTACCATTGTTCAACATAAAGTCACTGACAATATGGAAACAAGTTCTTCTTCTATGTAGATGAAGACCAAAGGTACAAGTGGGCACTAAATCAATATACTGTAAATGTTCATTATGAAAATAAATTCCACAATAACAATGCAAAGCAAATAAGCAATTTTCAATAAATGTATCTGTTCTACATGTGAGGCAGCCCTCTTCACAACCATCCAAATAGTCTATAGCAATAAGGTTATATTGGTTACTTTTAAAACACCACCATCTGACAACATTATGTAAGGTAACATGTCTGGCTTTTCAGATGCTAACTGATATGATAACAGCACAAAAACAACCAGGACACAACACATCAAATGCCAGTTCATACTTTATAGTGAAAGACGGGGTGTCATTAGAACAGTGTACCACAAGTATAAAGTCGCAGAAAAAACATCCTTTAAAAACAGTACTGTCCTCAGCTTTACACTCCTTTTCACCACTTCTGACAGTTTAAACATGTCTGCACAATTCACCATATGGGTGTAAAAAATTGTAGTTACTATTCTGAAAGGCAAGTAAGATAAATGACTACAAAAGTCACATACAGAATTATTCATTCAAAAAGATCATTTTAAAAAATGTAATAGTAAAGAACGACCCCTCTTGACAGCCAAACAAGAAGGGCCTTAAGCAAGGCAGATTTACTTATACAGCACATTTTCATACACAAAAGTTGGGACATTATGTAAAATCAAAATAAAAAGTGATGTGTACATAATCACCTGTATCACAGTGAAAACAATACAGCAGCACATTATATATTTGATGCGATACCTCATCAGTTTTAATCTTTGTTCAAAATAAACTCATTACAGTTCTGATGCTGCAACACATTCCAAAAAAGTTTGGGACAACTGCATTTCAGGGCCAGTAATGAGGTAAAACAATGAAATCATGACTCCGTGTGAAACAGGTGATGGATAGGAGCAAAGATGGGCCGAGGACTACCAGTCCTCTGCATACTCCTGCCCGTAACGACAGGAGTACACTGAGCACCTAACTTTTAAACTAAACTGCTTTACAGTATTACTGAGAGAGTCAGGAAGACCTACTGTACAGGTTGGTAAGTACAACATGCCTGCAGTTTTCATATGAAGACATACCTGCTCATCCTTGGTGATGAGATGCTGCTGAGTGCTCTGCAGATCCTTTTCAGCATTCTTAAGTTTTTCTGATGTGTCCTGGAGGATCTTCTCCTGTGACACTGTCACAGAGTTTTTGACTTTTATTTTTGCAACTAAACCTCGAATCTCTCCCTGTAGCTTCTTAATGATGTCATTAGCCTGATTAAAAAAAGAAATAAATAAAAGGAGGTAAGAAACCAGATGACATTCAAACATAAGGTGCAACATTACATCTACCAGATAACAACCACAGGTGTTTGTTAGTCTGTCAGCCTAATTTATGTTAAAGAGGGTGACAGAGTAATAAAAAATGGCAAAAACTCTTCTCTCTATGATGCAATACAGTTAAATAGCAGCACAAACTACACCCTCCAAAATGATTTCAAAGTTAAATCAACACCTTTCTAAAACAGTTTCAACAAAAACTGAACATTGGACACTTGAGTTCAATGTGTCTAAACCTGGTTTGTTTAACTAGGTTTATTTTCAGGTTAGTTTTCCCAGAGTTGGTATCATTTTGTTAAGAGTTAGCCAAATCTAAAGAGGGTTTGTAGGAACACGAGATGGCTCCTGACACAAACCTTTATCAGCTCCTCAGAAAGTGATTTCACTGTTGCTTCAAGTTTCTTGATTTGTAGTTCTTTACTTTCTGCATTTTCTTCCACTGATTCCTAAACAAAATACAACGCTGGTTAAAATATTTTAAGAAAATTAAACAGCTCCTGCTTCCGAGCCCTCAGATTCCTACTGAACATGAAAATCTTTAAAAACCGTTTCATTCACAAACAAATAAATAAAGAAAATAAAAGTAAAATCTCAGCAAAGGAAAGGGAAGCTGCCTGTTAGCTCAGTGCAGAGTTAACTATTATACTAGAGCGATCTGATGAGGGCTGTGGGTTTAAGACACTTTGGACTATTTGACCATGAAACTGCAGGAATACACATGAATTTTAAAGGTAGGACAGCTCACACTGTTACTGGATGTTAAGGCTGTTTAATGAGTTTTCCTAAAGCTCTGTGTTTGACATCTGTTTAGTTTGATTTTGGGAATTGATGACATCTCAGAGGAACATCTGTAGCTAATGTTATGTTTATAACATGTCAGTAATACTTTATCAGGAGTTAAGATGACAGTTTGCACTGCAGTTGAAATTTTACATTAACGTTCATATAGCACATCTGCAAACAACATGACGATAGTTTTTTATTCTAAAGTTAACTGTGTGTAGCTTCTTTGCTTTTACGTTGTTGTCAGCTTGTATTTAGACAATTAACACACAGCTCATGTCTCTACCCATGAAGCTTTGAGAGGCTTGTTTATTATCAGTGCTGTTAGCCTGTCAAACAGGACGCGATTGAACACTGTAGGCTAAAGCTACAACAAGGGCAGTTACATTGCTAGGCTGACAGAGGCAGACCCTCAAATTGACGTATGAACAGGGATGTGTGCACATCCCTCATCCGTGTCCGCATTCGCATGAGAGTATGTGTGAAGTCCATCTAGCCCTTAAGAGTGCTGTTGTTTTGTTCTACCCATTGTGGCTTTGTCATCACTTGTCATTATCTGGAAAGATGTACTTGAAAATGCCGTTCTTACCTTCTGCTGTTGAGTGGCTTCCAGCACCTCTTTTGTGCGGCGCATGAGCTGCTCCTTATCTTTGACCTCCTGTTCGAGAACAGCCACTCTCATTTGCAGCTGGTTCACCAACCGTTCCTTCTCATGGACCTCTGTGTCCAAAGTGCTGTTCTCCCTTCTCAGAGACAGGACCTGCTGCTTCAAACGCTGGCAGTCCTGCAAACATAACGCACATAGCAGCAGGACAATAAATAATCATGCTGGAAATTCCACTTTCGAAATTTTGTACTAATTCAGGAGACATTTCAAATGTATTTCGGCATCCATTTTAGTACTTATACTAACAAACAGTATAATTAAACTTGCATTTACAGGCTCTACTTTTTCTATATGACACAATCAATTCCAGTTTATTTACACAGCATCAAATTGCAACAAAAATCATTTTGCATCCTTCTACATACAGTGTATGACTTAAATTGGTGACAGGACACAGGTTTGTGACCTCAATGCAGCTGAGAAACAGACAACATGCCATCTGTTGTTCACTGAAGATAGTCTGGGAAGTTTGTGAACTCTGTAACAATGAATAATTAGCGTGAACTGAGTGTTTCTGCTGCGATGGATTGGCGACCTGTCCAGTGTGTACCCCACCTTCGCCCGATTGCCCCCCCCAGGGGGTAAGCGGTAGAAAATGAATGATTGGATGAATGAGTGTTTCTGTAGTTTCAACAACTCCAACAGAGTGAGACATCTTCACTGGTAAAACTGTCTCACATCAGTGATGGAAATGCAGTGCACTGTACAGGATGTTGTACACGCAAATGGTCATGAAGATTCATCATCTGTCATCTTTTATGTTATATACACAAATCCTACACTTTCATTAGTGTTTTGTTTTAACCCAAAGTAGCCCCAGATGGGTAAAGGGACTCTTTTAGCTGCACCACCACCCCCAGACTCCTAGACACACCTCCTGCAGCCACCAATATCATTATCCATTGCAATGTTTTACTGTAAACATAGTCCAATCCGAGTTTAATAAACACTGCCCATCTCTAATAGTTATGGAAACAAGATGCTAAGTCATTCCTCATCCAGCCTCCTCATTCACTTACCTCTTCTACACCCAATAGTTTAATCTTCAGGTCTCTGATTACAGACTCGTTCTTATATTTCCTCTCTGTCAGCTCTCTACAAGAGGCCTCCAGCTCTGTCAGTCTGCTGTGAAGCTGCTGGCTGCTCTTCTGATGAGCACTCTCCAACTCCTGACGAAGCTGCTCAGTCTGCTGCTGAAGCCTGCTCTGGAACTGAAAGACACCACAAAGACATACCAAATAAATATCTCTAACCACAAGGGTTGGATGTCAATACTGATTTCTTGATTTAACTAGATTTTAATTCCATTAATTTAGATTCAATTCACTTTGCTCCAATTCAGTTTCATTCATGATAATCAATGTACATCAGTTAAGTACTACTGTTGCATAAAGTACTTCTCGGAATCTTAGGAACTTAATTTTTTCCCCCCCTACATTCAGTAAATGAGCAACAGTGTTACTCATTTACTGTTACTGGGGTTTACACATGCTAAACCACTGAGCAACAACAATGAAAAATTCTGCCCCACTAACTGGGGCATCAAACCAAAGGTAGACAATTTTGATACTTTCTTCATGATATTTATTATGATCTGTATGTTTCCAGCTGCCCCAGATATGGACACAGTTGAAATCTCTTGAAATCTCTTTCCTCACATTCCCAGTGGGTCAGACGTTTTACATACACTCAGTTAGTGTTTGGTATCATTGCCTTTAAATTGTTTAACGCGGGTCAAACGTTTCAGGATGCCTTCCACAAGCTCCTTCCAATAAGCTGCTGGAAGTTTGGCCCATTCCTCCTGACAGAACTGGTGGAACTGAGTCAGGTTTGGAGGCCTCCTGCTTGCACACGCTCTTTCAGTTCTGCCCACAAATGCTCTATTGGACTGAGGTCAGGGCTTTGTGATGGCCACTCCAGTACCTTGACTTTGTCACCCTGAAGCCATTTTGCCACAACTTTGGAGGTCTGCTTGGGGTCATTGTGGTCATATAGACATAAAACATCAGTGTCAAGTTAAAATAACTTTTCTGTGTTTCTACATTACATTTTCTATGCAGGTTTTCATAAAATTAGGAAGAGTAATGAAATATGATGGTATAACCATAACAATAAATATGTTTTTTTAAACAACTCAAGTGGCTCTGGGGTCGTACGGACCCTAAACAGAAGACACGTTAAAACAAAAATCCACTGAGGAAAAGGAGGATGACGTGCATGCAAAAAGAAAGGTCTGTGACACTAGGACTCTGACAGGAGCATGAGAACAGACTCTGTGGGTCGTGCACAAAGAGGGCGACTGCAGTAGAGAGTGAGGAGTCTGAGGAGGAGCTTTATCTGATAGGCTTATAAAAACTCACATTTAGTTTTATTTGTCCCTGACGTTCATTTAATAGCAAACATGTTCAGCAAAATTTTGAGTTCAAGACTTACTGAGTTGTATTCTGGCTTTAAATTTTTAATTCAAGTATGAATTTAATGAGTTTATTAGCTACTGATCAATAGGATAAAAAAAACATGTATGGGACACTAAAAGGCGATGCAGTGTTTTGACCAGTATTAAAATATGCTTGGCCAGTGGATTTTTTCCATCTACCAGCCACCTCGGACGGTGAGTCAGAAAGTTAAATTCTGACCCTGGTCTTACCTCCATAGCTTTCTCTCTCTCTGACTGTAACTCCTGAGAATGACGGCTGGACAAAGAGCTGGTCTGACTCGTCCACTCTGAACGCAGTTTCTCCAATTCTTTAGTCTTCTCAGACAGTGTCTATGAGAGATACAATCACAGTTTCTTTTATTGCCATTACATTAATGGGCAGGTCATTTGACACAAAACTCTGTTTATATATACGGCAGTGTATCGCTTCATTGTAACCCATATTCATGTACAGGAATGCTAGACTTGGAATCAATTCTCTCTCTTTTAAGTCACTGGCACTGTCACATCACTTTACACACGGTAAGGACACGGTCACGGGTCGTCCAGGGGCAGCCAAGCCACTTAGCAGGACCACAGCAGCATGGCTGTCACAAGGCTCATATCATGTCATTTAAACAGTAATTAAGAACAGCACAGTGGGAAAAAAGTTCACATTGGCCTAGATCACAGACTTGATCAGACCTTAGTGGCTAATGAATTCACGTGAAACACCTTGAGTTCTTGGCTTCCTTTGCCCAGCTGGTCTTTACTGATAGCCTGACTGTCTATTTGTCTGTAAAATGACTGGGTCTGTAATACCATACCATTTTTGATACTGCAGGGAAAAATTGACACCAGCCTGAGGGTGTAAAAATTTTACACAGGTGTCACTAGGCTATGACATGACAACAAGGTATGACGTTCTTTTCTTGGCTAATAATAGAGGACAGCAGAATGACTATAGACCTAGGGTGTCATTTCCACAGAGGACATGACACCCCCCACCCCCCAAAATATGTCAAGAGCAGTTATCAAATACCTACTAAAGCTATAAGAAGATAGATGTTCTACAGGTGTGAAACTGATTCCAAAACATACTGATTGTTCACTGAGTTCCTCCTGCTTCATGTTGGTTTACATGTCAACCAGCAACAGCACTGCTGTAGCAGTGCTAAACGGCAGTGCCATCGTCACCATCCTCTACTTTTTCATTTTATTTTCTGCTTTGCCTGCCACTTGGTCAGTTTTAGGTGGTTGGAGAAACATTTTTAAGAGGAAAAAAGAGACGATCGCTCATTATTCCATTGCAGGCATAATGTTAACTTAGTGTTCGAGATCATAACCGCCTCAATCAGAAAGACAGCCTCTGATTGGATGATCAAAGGCATCATCGACAGCTAGTAGACAGCTAACGACAACAGTTATTCTCAGTATGGAAAAATGGATACCTTCTATCACATTTATTACTTATCCCAGCCAAGCGTTAATGTCGAGCCCTGCTGTTTCTGAGCTTTTGCTCTGGTTGTGCAATTAGAACAGGGCTCTAGAACATCAGTGACAAAGCATACCTGTTGAGCATAAAACAGCTGCTTGGACAGATCATCTTCTGTCTTCTTAAGCTTCATCTCTAGGGCCTGCTTCTCCGCCTGAAACAGTGAGATGATATATCCTTATAAACATAACTGAAACATAAAATTAAAACAGATTCTATCTACGTATGGTATGTGAAAAACCTAAAGGATGCATTGATAATTCCACTCTTAGAATTACTTAATTAACCAAAGCCTACTTCTTCTAAAATATATGGTTGACTGTCCAATCAAAAGACATTTCCTTTCCTAAACTATTCTTTTTTTTTTTTTGCTGTGATATCTTAAAAAAAAGCAATAAACCATACCTTTCAAACAAAGAGTATAAGTTCAATGAATTGTTTTAAGTCACCTGGCTGAAAACACAAGCAATATAAAGCAATGTGTAGAGTCAACAACTTCAACAAACACCAGAGAAGTAGCTGTTGGGATTGTTTGGATAGAACAAACAATCCCAAGACTGAACATCTGCCTTGCCAGAAGCCCACAAGACAAAGATCAGTCTGATCAGATAACACTTGTGTATCTGTATGTAAACTACCATTCAAATGAGTTTTACAATTCAAAGCTCTATTCCAAGGCCAAACAATATTGTGATGATATATATTATGTTGAATGAGCAAACCTTCAGAGATGAGAGACGCACAGCCAGATATTCTTTAACATCTTTATCGGAGCCTTGAGTAAGCCGTAAAGACAAGTGGTTGAGGTGTTTGAATGCATTCGTCTCTACAACGCTGAGGTTAGCAGGGCCTTCAAGCACTGGAGACTGACACAACAACTGCAGGAGAAACCTGTGGAATAAGAAAATACATGCAGAGTCATGTGGCACTGGGTGTTCTTTTACTGGAGTACATTATAACAAAAGGTGTCTCTAATATTATTCCATCCCACAGATTAAATTTGACAAGCTGATAAGAACAAACAAAAGCAGGAATTTACAACCAACCACAAAAGATAGATTCAAAACTACAGTATCATATATAATCAAAGGTAGATGAGCATCATATATAATCAAATGTTCCATGGGCCATACTGTAACTCTCTCAAAAGATTTTCACCAAAATCCACTCATTACTTTTTGAGTTATGCCGTTAACAAACCTACAAAAATCTGCAAAATCATAAACCCTGTCCTTAGCTTGGTACAGAGTTTGAAGGAAGAGGTTAGCATCTACCACAAGAGGAGAATGCAAATCCCAGACATTTCAGAGTTGTCCTATTTAAATGTTGAGTGTTCTTAGTTGGTTTGCTAATGTTAGCCATGAGTACATCTACACACAGGAGTCGCCTATCTTTGTTTAGAATTGAGGAGCATTGTGAACCACACATGTGAGGCTGGGACTTCTGGAGAGCTATGTGCAGTCACCAAGGCTAAGATAGCTGGTGCTGGATAGTTAGTAGACCTCCCAATTTTAGGGCTACCTGCTTGTTAATCCACAGTAACTGGCTTTCTGGTTCTACACATGTTAAATACACGATGCAGTGAGTGGGCGTGAAACATTTGGAGTTGTTTAAAGACACATGACAGGGCTGGGGTGAGTAACATAAGTAATATAATTCATTACTTTTGCTGATGAGTAATATGTAATTATGGTGTCAATAAGAAATGTGTGACAAACAGTATATAATCAATGATCAATATATCAGTATCAGTATACGGTATAATGTAAAGCTGAATTTATTTCGTTGAACAGTGTGATGTCGCACTGGTAGCTTGTATTTGTTCGTACCTTGGATGGTCTGACTCTTGTTCAGATGAGCACAGATTAAGCAGGTCAATAAACTTCTGAGGAAATGATGCAAAGTCTATCAAAAGCCCCTGCTGGACCTTCAAACTATCCAAACAATGACAAAGAAAGCAAAAAAAACTAAATCAGAAAGCTTGTTCATAATATCTTAACATCATACACTGAGCATTGCAATGTATACAGTTACCTTTGGAAATCTTCTTCTGATATAGAAAGGTTAAACAGAAAATGTGGATCTGTGTCATCTGTTAGCCTTACTAGAAGATCCTAATATAAACAAAACAACAAGTTAGTCCCCATGAAGAAAGACAAGTTTAGAACAATAAGAAAGGTTAAAGGATCAAAGTTTACAGTACCATACGGAGGAGGAAGAGAACAGGTGATGGCTTATTATTATTATTATTATATTTCTGTAAAACTACACCAAACACCATTTATGTTGGTGATGCAAAATTCCTACTCACCCTTTTGTGTACTGGACTTGTTGTCAACTGAAGCTCAATGCTGACACGAATATTTGCTTTCCTGCAAAATTAAACCAGTAAACATAACAATCTGGCTTCGGACTCCCTACACTCCAAAATCTGTAACAAATGATAAACTGTCATTTTACATTTTTCCAACATGGCGTCAAAATGTCTCAACATCCTTGACGAATATAAACAAAGACATTTATGGACCAACAAATTCAGTCTTCGGGCAATTTTGCAGAAACGGCTCATGAAATGTGTGTGTACTTAACAGCAAAGTGAACTAAATAAATAAGGTTATACTAAATGGTTTTAAATGTAACGTGAAATGACACGCTAACATTACGCCTAGCTAATTCTGTAGCAATAATAAGTTTTTGTCTTGCACTGTTGGTCATGGCTGCAAACATAAACATCGAAGATATCTTCGTTTACAGCTGAAATAAGAAGCTTTATAAATGTTTTTATGCTAACGTTAGCTGGTTTCACTACAGTACCAAATAACTGAACGTTACCTTTCCTCACAGTCCCTGCATCTTACGTTCACTTGTAACACTTTGCTAAACAGTTCTTCCATCGTTTTTTTGCTCTGTTAACTTAGTCAACTGACATGTTAACATTAAAAGCACAAATGTGAGGAGAAGTTGCTAACTGTGAAAGGCGCTAGCTTCCATCACACGGACACATCAGATTTCTATTGTTATTCCCTCTGTGTTTTTGAATTGGCGCTCTTCAGCCGCCAACCAAGCTGCCCTGGAAACGGAACACGTTTTCGTCTTCGTGATGACTGCGGTTGGCAAACAGCATAAGGTTAGATTACTGCCACCTACTGGAGGACAGCCGGTATTGTTGAAGCTAGACTTATGGAGGTCCAAAAGGGACAATTCATTCATACGTACATAAATAAGTTGATTTGGAGGGCGGACATAAAACATGAATAAATGATCGAGTGCCACTTTCTTATTTATTACATTTATTTATTTGTGTTTATTCATTTCAAAATGGACCTCTTTTCACATTTATTTCAGGTGATACGGATGCCTCCTGGGCGCATTCCTGGGGAGTTGTTCCGGGCATGTCCCATCAGGAGGAGGCCCCGGGGAAGACCCAGGACACGCTGGAGGGACTATGTCTCTCGGCTGGCCTGGGAACGCCTCGGCATTCCCCCGGAGGAGCTGGGGGAAGTGTCTGGAGAGAGGGAAGTCTGGGCATCTCTGTTTAGACTGCTGCCCCCTGCAACCTGATTCCAGATAAGCAGAAGAAAATGGGTGGATGGACATTTATTTATTCCCACCTTTATACCTATTTCTTTCTTGCTGCTTAATTGGAGTAAAGAAGAAGCCTTTAAAAGGAAGCTCACCACTTATGAGGTCAATGAATCTCAACAAGCAGGATAGAGAGCAAGATGTCTCCCAGTAGAGGTTGGATGTATGGGCCTTACTGCCCAATTCCTGTCTAGAGCCTTCAATGTTCTGGGCATTGAAGGTGTTAGGAAGAAGAGCTGTCTGCAATACCATAATATCAGCAAAGGAAGCCTAATATTCAGCCTATAACAGTATAATATTTATTCATTCATTATTGACAGCAGGTCAAAAAAAAAAGTCAAAAGGCTCATGTTAGAGAGCAGAAATGGTATGATCAATTGTAGGGGATTTTAAGGTGTGTGTGATATTGTATTAGATGCTTCTTCAGAGCACAAATGTTGCCTCTATTCAAAGTACACTGTTCAAAGTAAACTGCAACCTGAATCATGCAAGTAAACCTTTAAAACATTTGATGTTGCTTCTAGGGATGCTCCAGTCTCTTTTTTTTAAATTTGTTCACAGTTGCAGGTCTTTATTCATGTATATGAAACCTGTCAACCACCTGCATTTATTGGGAATTTATCTATCTATCCCTACACCCCAAAATCCGTAACAAAAAACTGATCTGCTGCACTATGAATAATTTATCGTGTATCATTAAATGTGATAATTCATTTAATAACTGTCACTTTCGGCTGTTCCCGTTACGGGTCGCCACAGTGACCCTGATAACTAATTTAATAATGATTATAATACTTAATTTACTATACTATAATTTAGATACGATAAATAAACTAGTCCTCCTTATGTGTAACAGTGTTAGTACCTGTCAGGACACACCTGGATGCAACAGAGGTGATCTGCAGTCAGTGTTTAGGAATTCAGATCCATGGTAAAAGTTACACATAACACCTGTAAACAGCTCATGAGCCAAGATAAATAACAAACACCCTGCAAACGTCTCCATTAATCCTGTTACGCAGTAGGTAAAGTCAGTCCGACCTCGCTGTTGCTGCCGTCACTGTTTAGTTCCAGTTTCTTCAAACTAACAAGCCTCACACAGACATACCTTCATTACTACCACAGGTACGTATATACGTTATGTTTGTTTTTGCATTTTATGGTGTTTTGATCAGCTTTGAGAGCAGCTGTAGGTGTTGGTGGGGTTTCCTGGGCCAGTCTCCTCCATCCTCTGCACCTCTGAGCTCTGGACAGAGCTGATTCCAGGTTGGGCTCTCTTGCTTACCTCACACACTGAACAACTAATAGATTAGTTTTCTATGCCCCTGATGAGTTTTATCAAAGTAATAGGTCATTTCCTCAGAACTGTTAATGACAGTTATGCAGATGAAATTCAATCAAAAATGGAGTAAACTATATAGAAACATTGGGGAAAAATGAGCAAATTATTAGAACTACATTAATAATTAATACAATTACCTATATTACCCTTATTTTATTTTACTTATTTTACTTTTTAAATCCATTTCAGTTTAATTATATTTAAAGAAGATTCACTGTTAAGTTCAATAAATGCATTCAAGTTTGAAAAGTCAATGAGTAATCATGTTAAATAATCCTGATCTCAACACTGACCAAATAATTAAGTTTTCTGCCATAATCAAGCTATTATCTAGTATCACTAGTCTCATAAATAGCTGCTAATTACCAACCCTTCTGTATCAGAAACCTTTCCATCAATCATGTCCTTTGACTTATCTTACCAAAGAAAACAATTTTAATATGACACTGTGTCTAAGTAATGTGTGAGGCCACCTTGAAACTAACTTAAGCATTGTGTGAAAAACGCAGTCCACTAATTAATTTGCACCAGCCAACACCGAGGACAACATAAAAAAAATAAAAACACGAAGCTGTTGGGCAAAGAAGTTGAAGCTGGCTCAAAGTTTGCCAGACGCAATGTGTTAGCATTCAGCAAAATGCTCCGTTGGCCAATTAAATACATTCAAGTGCATATTCTTGATATTTTACTTTTACACAGATCATTTCACAAGCTTCTACTGTTGAAGTGGTGACTGCCCTGACAAATGCTAAAATAACTGTCTTTGTGACAACTTTGCAGAGTTGTAAAACCCTATCTCATAGTATTACAAATCACTGTGCAGTGTTTTGGCATCAGGAAACCATCAATCTGGCCTTGTTGGACATCTCACCAGTATCTGAAACTACAAGCCTACACCAACACAGCGCCATGTATTATTTTAATGCAAGGTTCTTTCTGTCTGAAAATCATCTAAGAGTGCAGGTAAATCTACAGAGTAATGATGATATGATCAGATTCTGTATGAATGAAATAAACACACACATGGTCTTTTGGCTGAGTTGTGTATAGCTTGTTTATTAATGATATATTTTTGCATAGGGAAACATACTAATTTCCAGTAATGAATTCATCAGCATTTGCTGATAGCAATGGCTAAATATGGTTATAATGACATATTATCAAAGATGTAAATATCCCCCACAGCAGATGAATAACATCAGGGCAAAAACAGTGATGCAGTCAAACGCCAACAGAAACTCCAACCAGGCAATTTTATGGCCCTTGAGGCAAATTTGTGATTTGTGATATTAAGCTGTACAAATAAAGATAGCCTTGACTTGAACTGTCAGTCCATGACCATAACTATAGCTACGTTCACATTAGAGGCCCTAATGCTCAATTCCAATCTTTTGTCAGATCTGATCTTTTTCTGTTGGCAATTTACATTCATGATTGTAAGTGTCATGTATCAAGCTTTGATTTTAACACCTTTGAGGGCCTCAATTACTACACATGCACGTTGAGAAAAAAAAACTATGAATTCCAGTCTGACTGTTCTGGTAACATTAACATGGTCAACTATCGGATATGAATCAGGTCTATGACCACATATGGAAGTGGCCCAGATCTGATTTGAAAAAAAAAACCTGATCTGGTTTGTTCACACATCCATGAAAAGATCAGATCTGAGTTGGCTGGAGGGGAAAAAGTCACTTCAGCATGTAGTCTGAACGTAGCTGTCTACATGCAGTCTTTGATTGACATTTGCCTCAGCTTCAAACCATCAAAAGGAAACATTATTATATGTTCTTCTCAAAGCTGCTACAAATTAAATCTAGTTCAGAGCAGAAACCCTTTTCACAGTAAATATCTCAGGGTAAGATTCATGTCAGCACTCCAGCTTTCTCAACCTGGAACATAAGAAACAACTCAGCTATTATTTTCTTATATTAGGATACCAAGTTGTGCAATAGTTCAGGTGTCAATTAAAACTGTATATCAGGACAAGTTAATTAACCATGAAAGCTCTGTTAGAGTCCTCTGTTAGGCTTTAAGATTGTGAACAACCATAGCAATAGAACCCATGCTTTTCTTTAATCTGGTCTTTTGGAAGTGACCATAAGCTGATGAAGACCAAGATCAAGAGCCTGGTTCTGTCTGAGTTTTCTTCTGTTGAAAGGTTTCCCTCCCCATCATCACCAAGCACTTGTTCAAGGGGGGATTTGTTGGGGTTTTCTCTAGAATATTACAAAGTCTTTACCTTAACTAAGTGTGTTTAGATGATTATTGTTGTGATCTGGCGCTAATAAATAAATCTGAATTTAACTGATTGACTAAAATAATGCACCCTGAGGTGTTCCAATATAGAAAAGACCAGATTTATGAGAGGGGACACCACTCAGCTTTATCTCTATTGTTTTCAAGTACTGGACGACCTCATGATGTGTGATTGATTACTAAATTAAGATATAATGTTGTTATGCCATAGCTAACTGCACTATACAATGTCCTGACGTACACTTAACAGTAAAGTTACTGTGATCTGAGTGGATTGTAGTCATGCAATAACTCTGATGTAAGGGACATATATCTCAAAGCAAGCAAAGGAGTCTTTTACTATATTCTCTGAAAACCTATTAAATAAAATGAGTCTGCAATAAAGTTTTCTTTAGAACCTATCTTTAGCACAAGGAGTAAAGTCTGCAGAGGCAATATACCCGCAGATACAGAAAAAATAACTCTAATGGCATCGCTATCGCAGGAAAAATCAGCTTGATAATGTAAGGAACGTCTTCCAAATGCTGAGAGTCTGAATTACTAAAAGGATTTTGAAATAAAAAGCAGACTTGATATTCAAGAAACAGCAAAAAAATAAAAAATAAAAAACATCAAATTGGAATTATAAGGTTTTCACCAGTAGTGTTGAATCACATGAACAGTTTATTAAAAAAGAGCCCTCTAGGAAAACATCACCCTGAAATCTCCCCAAAGCCTAATTGTTTAGATATCCCAGAGTCCTTTTGTTTCTCACAGCATTCAGCTAGAGATCAACTAGCTGCTATAAGCTAATAAGCAGGAACCACCACCACCAGTTGCACTGTTGACTTGAACTGCCAGGCCACAGCTTTCCCCAACAGTACAAACCACAAATCCAGATCATAAAACTGTCATTATTCTGATTTGGTGCATGATACTCTAACAGGAGTCGTCCACAAACACTGT